GTAAGGGCCAATTCACGCTAGAACCCGCATCCATGTCAGTTTCCTGCACCGAAATCAAATCGGACTGCTCTTGCAATCTGTTGCAGGTGACAGGTCAAAGTTAACAACACCCCAAAGGTAGGGGTACCATGTGATCTGTTTGCAGTGCATTTCCCAAAGTAGCGCTACTTTTGGTGCTGTGCGATTTCAGCTTATTCAAAATAAATGAAGAATGTCTCATTTTGTGCAGGCAGCTGGATCTAAAGATATCTTATAGGCAAGGATGCCCAAACCTCTGCCTGCCTCTGAACTTCCAGCACTAGAATGGTTAACAGTTTGGGGTCTTCAGGTAAAACAGCAGTACAGTTGGTCTGATGGGGACACATCCCCTCCTCCCTCCTCCTCTTTGATTACACTGCTTGTAACATGTCTGTGAATTGGGGGGGGGGGGGGTAATCCTGTGCCGGAGCAGACTCTCACCCATACACAGATCATGCTACAAGAACTGTAATCAATAAAATAACTTTTCTCAATGGAGGAGAATTAAGGAGGACAGGACTGTCTGTACTGCTGTTCTGCTTGAAGACTTGAAGTTGTTAACCATTGCAGCTCCAGAAGTTCATTGACAGGAAGAGGACGGGGTATTCCTGCAGTGAAGATTTCTCCAGAAGCAGCTGTCTGCACAACATGGTACATACTTCCAGGGGCGTCCCTAGGGTTGGTATCACCCGGTGCAGTAACACTTGGTGTCACCCCTCTGATGATCCCCGCAGGATTATTATTATTATTATACAGTATTTATAAAGCGCCGATAGTTCGCTCAGCGCTGTACATTACAAAGGGGGACAGAACATGTGACAGAACAATACCAATACAATGCAAAACATGAGGGGATCGAGGGCCCTGCGCTTTCGAGCTTACAATCTAGGAGATGGATCAGATCTGCGGATTGAGCATAATGGATCGGAGTCCGATCCATTATGCGCCCCAATCCGCAGATCCGATCCATCCTGCTGGTATTGTTGGCTTGCAACCTATACGGGGTTAACTGATCTCTCCACGAGCTCCACGAAAAGGTAAGTTTTAAAGCAAGATGACCTTTTCGTGGAGCTCGTGGAGAGATCAGTTAACCCCGTATAGGTTGCAAGCCAACAATCCCCACAAATTGAGCTTTCTTTCAATGGTATTTGATTGCCTGTGCGGTTTGGACTTTTTGCGCTATAAAAAAAAAAGTACGACAATTTTGAGAAAAAAAAACAATATTTTTGACTTTTTTGCTATTAAACATGTCCAGTAAAAAAAAAAATTAAAAAATCAAATTTTGTCATAAATTTACACCAAAATGTATTCTGCTCCATGTCTTTCCTAGAAAAAAAATCCCAATACGTGTAAATTAATTGGTTTACATGAAAGTTATAGCGTTTACAAATGGAGGTATAGATACTGAAATTGTTTTTTATTTTTACTAGTAATGGCGGCGATCAGTGACTTATAGCGGGAGAGCGGGACTGCGGCGGACATTGTGACACTGGGGGGAACTGACTTGGTATCACTGACATCCCCAGTGACACCACTACAGTGATCACTGCTAAAAAAAAAGCACTGACACTGTACTAATGGCACTGGGCAGGAAGGGGTTAACATGAGGGGTGATCAACAAAGGGTAACTGTGTGCTGGGAGCAGGGGAGGACTGACAATTCATGAGGCCCCCAGGCAATAGGGGATCATGAGGCCCCTGTGTCCTTGCCCAAACTCAAAAAAGCCTATGAAAAAGGTACCATCTGATGGGGCCCCCTACTGACCCCAGGCCCTCAGGCAGTGCCCAAGTTTCCAAATGGTCAGTCCGCCCCTGGCTGGGAGTGTTTTACTAGGGGGAAGTGTCAATGTGCTTTATTGTAATAACACTTCTCTGGATGGCTGTGCTGTGCACAGCCATCCAGAGCAGTGTGCTTGAGCTGACAGGGAGGAGAACTGTTAATAAACAAAACAGTCATCCTCTCCGTCAAAGATCTTCGGAAATCACCAGGAGCCTACGAGTAATTACCGGCTGGGAACTGGTGATTGACAGCCGTAGCCGCTAATGGCAGCTCGTTGCTTGCGTACACCCCCTACCTGGAAATGCAAAATCACAAATATATATGTGATTTTGCACACCCGTGCCACCCGGTAGCAGTATTTCTGCTATAGGGCAGACGGGAAGCGGTTAAAGCATTATTTTGTGTAACGTATGAATGTTTTCAGTTGTTTGGATCCCTAGCCCTTTGACAAGCACATATTATTGCTATTGGAAGTGACTTGCTGAAAAAACTATTTCCCTGCAGCTATCAACTAGAGACCAATGAAGAAGTGAGAGACACAAGAAACAGAGTTTTGCTAGGGAGTGTCAGGTTGATGACATTAGCTCATACTAAAACATAACCTGAGTATTCCAAGAAAATGAAAAATAAAATGACATCTGTTGAGAATGAGATCTTCTTCAGCCTCTGGAGACTGAGCACATTTGGTCGTAGAACTATGCACTCTTTGTGTGCTGCCATAGACAACCTCCATCAAAGCCATGCCCAGGAGGTCTCTTTACACAAGAAGAATCTTCTCATTTTGCTATTGATTATCTTGCAGCACATCATAGGCCATGGATGGCTCTAGGCGAAGGTAGCATTGATTTTTCAATTCAATTACAAGCTCAAGGTTTTATTTAATTAGTTGCCTAATTCATTAATTAAGTGCTTAGATCTTGTTTATGTCCTTAGCTATCAAATTAGGGATTGCTGTTCTGCAAACAAATATTAGTTGGGAAGTTTTGTTTTTTTTTTTCCTTTTCGACATGTTTGAACAGAGGAAGTGTTGCTCTGCTAACTGCTGATCCACAAGGCTCTCCTCTGATGCATGCTTTTCAGATGTTTTCACAGTTGAGCTAAGATTAATAATTCGTGGGGCTGTGCCTGTAGTGGGAATCTATTTATTTATTTTAGGTACTTATATAGCGCCATCAGTTTACGCAGCGCTTTACATATATATTGTACATTCACATCAGTCCCTAACCCTCAAGGGGCATACAATCTAAGGTCCTTAATTTACATTCATACATACACATACTAGGGACAATTTAGATAGGAACCAATTAACCTACCAGCATGTCTTTGGAGTGAGGGAGGAAATTGGAGTAGCCAGAGGAAACCCACGCAAGCACAGGGAGGACATGCAAACTCCAGGTAGGTGGTGCTATGGTTGGGATTCAGACCAGCAACCCTAGTACCGCTAGGTGGAAATGCTAACTGTTTAGCCACTGTGTGCAAGTGGTGGGACTAGTATGCACTGTTGGTAGCCCTTGGTATTGGAATGGCAGAGTACTTGTAGCATCCTCCTAAATAGGCTTCTAGAAAGGATAGGTAAATTTAGTCTTTTTGCCTTCCCTGTAATCAGTGGAGCAGTGTTTAACCTCCCTAACGGTATTCCCGAGTGTAGCTCGGGGTAAAATGTCAGTACCAAAAAGCGGTAACCCCCGAGCTACACTCGGGCTTACCATGCGGCGCTACATAGGGAGTCCCTGCAGCACTTACCTTGTCCTTGGCTGCCGCGATGTGTCCCCTGTAGTGTCCCCGGCCATCTCCTCCGGCAGATGCCGGCATCCGCCTCCTGTGTTCCGGTCCCTGTGACGTCGGGACGTACGGGCGCCACCGGCGGCGGGAAATTTGAAAATTTAAAAAAAACTGTCATTTTTTTCAAAACGATTTTACATAGTAAAACATTGCTGTTTCAACCCATTTCACATACATTTTGTCCCGAGTGCTTTGTCCTGCGCCCTGCCTGCATTTTGTCTGTTCTTTCTGCCTGGAAACTTAGAAAAGTCCATGGCGTCCAAAAAGTGTCCCTTTATTTCAAAAGCGGTTTTAGACCGGCTAGAGAACAGCGATAGTAAATCAGAACCACTTGCAGAATTGAGTGATAATGATTCGTGGGGTAAATTCATCATCAGACACTGAAAACGATTTTACGACTTTGCTCAGTGATGTGCGAACTTGGCGCTATATTTCAAATTTCAGTGTTTTTGGTTTGATTATATTATTGAATTAAATGTATGATTTAGAATCTTGTTCAGACAGATTTCAGTGAGTTATTCCTAAAAATTACAGCCTACAATAAAAAAAACTACATATTTCCATGCAAAATAATGGTATCGCTTTCAGCACCAAAAATATGAAATAATCAGACCGCTAGGGAGGTTAATTGCTTTGGGCTTCACTGACTGCATGTTTGACTGTTTCTCTCTGCCTTCTAGAGGATTCTAGAATGTGGTGGGCTGGGAAAGGCAAATCAGCAGCCTGAATATTTATGTTGTCCCAGCCAGTTCCTGTGGGTGTCCAGTAGGTGGCTGAGGAGTGCATAAATAGTCTGGGTCCTGAAGCATCCCTGTTCTTGTTCAGGTACCTGGGCTGGAGGGCTGCTTCTGTGCTAGAGCTGGGGGCCCTGTGTGCACTAAAGTTGGACTATCCAAAGCTCACCCTGCACCCCAACTAAGTTCAATGCGCATTAACCACTTCAAGTACGGATACTTTCACCCCCTTCCAGTCCAGGTCAATTTTCAGCTTTCAGTGCTAGCACACTTTGAATGACAATTGCGCGGTCATGCAACACTGTACCCATGTTAATTTTTTAGCATTTTTTTGAGACAGATAACATTTCATTTTGGTGGTATTTACAGTATTCACAACTGGGATTTTTATTTTTTTGCTATAAGTCCAAAAATTTTGAAAATAAGTGTTTTTCTCATAAAAGTTTGCAAATAAATAATCTTTCTTCATAAATCTTGGCCAAAATGTATTCATCTATCTTTTTAGTAAAAATAACCCAAATTAGCTTATAACCAAAAATTATAATCTTTCAATAAGTTTTCACATTTTTATTTTATATTTTTATATTATTATTTATGGGTCTTTTTTTAACATACTGTCATCCTAGCAGTACAGTGTCGCCAGAGTGACACTGTACTGCTTCTGGGGGGTGAGCAGTTTTTTTTTTTTTTTTTTACAGTGATTGCTTTTACACCCATAAAGGCTGTAAAACCAATAATTTCTCCTTCTCTCTGGCTGCATTCTTGCAGCCATTGAGAAATACTGTACGAGATGTGATTGGTCACAGCTTGTCACATGGTACAAGGCTGTTGTGAATAGCCTTGTACTATGTGCCCTCTGTGATCTGTGTTCTGCTGTCTCCTCTGGACACAGCGGGCACCAAACACGATGCTGCATGCTCCCCGGGAGCGTGCACAGGCAATGGATGTGTGGGAATGTTTAGAAATGTCCACCTGCAACGGCAGCGCTCCTGTCCGGCCGTTTATCAACATGGGCCAGACAGGAAGTGGTTAAACCCTAAAATGACACTCACTCCCTGGTTATTGTGTTGTGAGACTGTGGGAGCTGTTGTGTGCCTGGCTGCTGTGCACTCGCTTGGAAAAAGAACCTTGGACAAATCTGGGGGGCCCGTTAGGGGTCTGCACTACATCTATAACTGATCCAATTATGGCAAGATAGCTGTAACTTACAGTATCAGTAGAATTGGCAGACAGTGACTCGATCCAAATAATATCTTGCAGATGGTAGAAAGCTTAAAGCAAAACTTGTGCAGATCTTCACAGCTGAACGTCAGATAGCTATATTATTTTTTTTAAATTGCTGTATTTTATATATTAAAGGGGAGTTACTTGTTAAGTAAGGACAACAGATTTTTTTATTCATTGTACACATAAAAAGATGGCATGGCAGCCATAATGGCCAATTACACTGCAGGATTTAAACATACAATAGATGTAACCTAGTTCTATACCAAAGCTTTTAAACTCCAGGAAAAAAGAAAACAATCCCTGACAAATTACTCATCATACATAATGGCCGCCTGGAGCTAGAGCGCGCCGATGTTTTTATTCAAACTATTGTGCAAAACTAATTAGCCAGTGCAGGACTAGTATGATTCCAGCTGAGTAATCAACGTAACTGCATCCAGCACAAGGAGCCAAGTTACTGAGTGACACTGTTAAAGCAATAACCGTACTTTGCCAATACTACTATCTACCTTACTACCGAATTGCTGCTTGGAGGAAATGGAGTGCATTTGAATAAACACGGGTCCATTACTAACAGCTCAGATATGCGGAATTACTGATACGATGGTGCTGCAAATGAATCATAGAAGAACATTCCATTACTTAAAAGAATCTGCAGATTGCTGGGAGTGAAAGTCCATTATAAGTAGCCCGCTCTGTCGCTTTATAAGTAAAAATGTTGTACATCATAAATCCCGGAGTCCATTGCTGATATTAAATGGTAATGTTTCTTATAAAGGGAAAGGCAGCTGCAGAATCACTTTTCATTATGAGCGAAGCACAGCAAGAATCCTTTCATTTCCTGACCAACTCTGCTCTATATTGTGCTATAGGGATAGTGCCCGTGTGTAATAGGATTACAATTGATTTTGGTGTCAGCCTGAGAATCTAAAATTGTGTGGTTCATTTGGGTTCAGACATGATTGAGGTTTAGCCTGCTTGTCCCCAGAAAAAAAAACGGTAAAGTTAAAGCAGAACTAAACTAATAAATAAATAATAAAACTCTCAATCCACGTGAACTATTTGAAATCCTTATGCTGCTAGCATTCCTATGTACTTCTTTCTTACATTTTTTCTGTTGCGTCTTGGTTACTGGGCCTAGGCTAAAATGATGTGATGCATCCCAGGAGTCTTCAGGAGGGGAGGAGGAGTTTTCTCAGCTAAGCACAGCCTCCTGTTTGCATGCCTGAGCTAAGGGCAGCCAGATTCCAGGAAGTAAATGCTACAGGAATAATCTGCCCTTACTCAAGATGGCCACAGGTAGAAATGCTGGGGAGGTCGGGGGGGCTTTTTTTCCAAGTGATTTCCCAACAAAATAAAGCATAGAGGTATGGATGAATGGGGGAGTTTGCTTTGAATATAAAAAGTGAATAAAATAGCGTTTTCAGTTTGTGGTGTTCAGATACCGGTTAGTACCACTATAAAAGGTCTAATGAAATGGTACATAGTTTACCAAAAATGTTTCCAAAGTTTTGTTAGCTGCGTCTGGGCCAACCATCAACTACCCCCCCTAAACTGCAATAGGCAGCTGAGAGCAGGGTGTATTTACCACAAGGCAAACTAGGCATTTGCCTAGGGCGGCATTATTCAGGGGGGGCAGCACTGCCCCTTGGAAGAAGGGATGGAAGAGGGGGACACACGCGGCATGGGGACCTTGTGGGTTCCATGAGATGCTTTGGGTTTCATGACGGTGTATGCACAGCCTGGCTCTCATTACAGGGGATGTCCGGAGCTGTAAAGGTGAGTGTCTTTCTCTCTCTCGCCATGGGGGATGGTGGCTGGTGTATGGGGGGCAGTGGTAGTGGAAGGCTCAAGTGGAGGGCAGGGGTGTTCTTGGTCAATGTCAGGTTCTTCCTGGGGGGGGGCGCCAATTTTTGTGTTGCCTAGGGCAGCACAAAACCTAAATACACCACTGGCTGACTGCTGCATTGCTGCCATGGCCTGTAAACACCTAAGTTCATCTTGCCAGCCCACCAAATGCTACACAGTCTAGCACATGAGGAAGCACCACAAAACCCGCCCTCCCCCCAGGGGCATCCCTAGGGTTGGTGTCACCCGGTGCAATAACACTTGGTGACACCCCCTCCACCGATCCCCGCAGAATGGATCGGATCTGCAGATTGAGCATAATGGATCGGACTCCGATCCATTATGCTCCCCATGCCGCAGATCCGATCCATCCTGTGGGGATCGTCGGCTTTCATTACAACTTACCTTTTCGTGGAGCGGGTCCGGTGTCACCCCATATAGGTTGCATGCCGACGATCCCCGCAGGATGGTTCGGATCTGCGGATTGAGCAGAATGGATCAGAGTCCAATCCATTATGCTCCCCAATCCGCATTTGGATCCATCCTGTGGGGATCGTTGGCTTGCTTTGCAACTTACCTTTTCATGAAGCGGGTCCGGTGCAGGGCCGGACTGACCATTTGGAAACTCAGGCACTGCCCGAGGGCCCGGGGTCAGTAGGGGGCCCCAAGAGATGCCCCTGGTACCTTTTTCATAGGCTTTTTTGAGTTCGGGCAAGGACACAGGGGCCCCATGATCCCCTATTGCCCGGGGCCCCATGAGTTGTCAGTCCGCCCCTGGTCCGGTGTCACCCCGTATAGGTTTCACCTGCCTCGGGACGCCACTGCCCCCCCCCCCCACCATCACCACCACAATTTGCAGTTTGTGTGGCATGGTTGTCAGCAAGAATGGGGTTAAAATAGGCGGTGAGGAGAGCATCACACCTCCCTGTAGCTGCTGGAGTTTGATCTGAATGTGGATCAGGCTTCAGAGGCAAGAGAGATTTAGGTAAGCTAAACAGGGGGAAAAAAACAAGATTTTTTAGTAAAAGCAGCACACAGTACACACATTGCTCATAGTTAGGATACACATATTAAACCCCTTGATCACCCTAGATAGATGTTAACCCCTTCCCAGCCAGTGTCAGTACTACAGTAACAATCAATGCATATTATTAGCACTGATCACTGTATTTATTTCACTGGTGATGTCAATGGCAGTTAGTCAGTCCCCCCCCCCCCCAGTGTCAGTTAGTGTCAGATTGCCTGCCGCACTATCATAGTCCCGTCATAAGTCGTTGAGCATTAGTATTATAAAAAGAAAAAAAAGAATAAAAAATTCCAGTATATGTCCCATCCTTTGTTGATGCTGTAACTTTTACACAAACCTAGCAATACACACCTATTGGGAATTTTGTTTTTATGAAAGACATGTAAAGAATACATTTTGGTTAGAATTTACAGAGAAAATTAAGAGATTTGATTTTTTTATTGGATCTGTTTTATAACAATGAGTAAAAAATATTGTTTTTTTGTTCAAAATTGTCAGTCTTCATTTTTAATTCATATCACAAAAATTACCACCAAATCAAATACCACCAAAAGAAAGCTTTATTTTTTCACAAATATATACAAATGTAATTTGGGAACAGTGTTACATGACCACGCAATTGTCAGTAAAAGTAGCACAGTGTCACATAGTAAATGGCCTGGTCATGAAGGGGATAAAACCTTCCAGAGGGCAAGTGGTTAAAGGCAAAACTCATGAAGCTATATAATATCAGGACTTGATTTCAATTTAAGTTTTTAAATATTCTCTTACAGAAGATTAAAGTGGAACTTCAGCAAAATGGAAAAGTTTAGCTGTTCCTCCCCCCCCCCCCCCCTATTATATTTAACTCCTATTTTTTTTTTTTTGGGGGGGGGGGGCAGAAGGTACCTGGGGATAGCGGGTACCTGGCTCCACCTCCCCCCTTCCCTTGCCAGCAGCTTTCTGGAACACACATCACAGGTCCCAGAAGGCTGCTGGACCAATCACAAAGTACAGCACAGCAAGCCGGAAGCAGTCACAGTCTGCTGCCCACAGTTAAGATGCTGTGCCAGGGACAGAAGACCGGTGAAGAAACTGGCTCGGGTGAGGAGAGCGTGGATCCTGGAATAGGTGAGTGGCTGTTTATTACAAGTCAGCAGCTACAGTTTTTGTAGCTGCTGACGTTTAATTTTATAATTGGACCTGGACCTGGAAATTAAAGGAGATCATTGTATCAGTGATGCTTAATACATTGATTTCCAGCTTTCATAAGGATTGGCTAGGTATGTAATATGCATACTTACAATGGTCCAAGCTGGATTAATGTAACTATGTAAACATACCCATACCGAGAATTTAAAACTGAATGTTCAAATTCTTGGGTAAACCAAAATATTACTGGAAATCTTTAAGTGGTTAAATTGCATCATGTCATTGTTACAGGATTACTGGTGATCTGAGTGCGCAGTATGATAAAGATGCAGCCTGCAGTATCCATATCAAAGAGGAGAGTACAAAAACACATGTTGCTCACTTGCTGCTTCCAAGTTTAATGTCTTAAATAGAAATGGTTCACATTGTACAGATATTTACTTTCTTTATAGTGGCAGCGCAGGCCACATGAAAAAGCACATCAGTTTGCATTAGAGAATTGCCATTACTAACATACAGAATACTAAATCTAGAAAGTGAATGTCAGAGTTAACACAAAAACTGAACAAAGATAGCATAAACAAAGTGTGACTAACCTGTAAGAGAGCACAA